TTCAGACGTGTGCTCTTCCGATCTCCCCAAAACCCCAAAACCCCACAGCCTTTCTCATGAAACAAATCAAATGAATTATAAGATTATTAGTTACAAAATAATTAGTAAGTTGGTATTTTCAATTAAAAGTTAATGGAAAATTAAAGACAAAATAATCCTAAAATTAAGCAAACCAACCAATCTAACTCTTAAGCTTAGTAACCAAATATAAATTCCTCAATTATTCAATCGCATTTACATTCATAAGGTTCATCCTATGACTTTAGAGATTATAATCTTGAATCGACCGAGAATTTAAACATTAATATCGATCTTCAATAGGACTATAATAATTTTAATGAAATTGACTAGTATCAGCCCGAGTAGTTATAGTTTTAAAATATGCAACTTCAAAATATAAGCAGACTAAGATTATCAAAGAAAGATGTTTAAGATGATTTTTAGAATCCCATTAATATAACTATCAAAGAAGATGATATCCATGTGCATGAGGAAGATTTATAAACTAGGACTATAGAAAAATCAACTATCGTCAACAATAATAATAATAATAATCTTGTAAAGTAGAATCATCCACTGTAAAATCATCCTATGTATGCCTCAAATGAGAGATTGATTTAAGATGAGTAAGTGATTAATATGCTTAAAATAATTATTTCTATAGCGATCTTGGTATATTGTTAAATGAAAATATCAGACTTAAATCTAAAGTTTTACTCTTTGTGGATAAACTCGAGAGATTTATAAACAAAACCTAATATATCAAAATGCAAAGAAGACAGGATCAACTTGGTTTAAAGAATCCTAAGAATGAGATTTTAGTTTAAAAATCGAAAGAACTTGACAGTATCATACATAGAACAAAAGAACTTAAGAAACAAGTGGGCTAAATCAAGGATTATTTTTAAAACGACTAAAATCTATATGACCGAATGATTTAGGGTGAGGATTAAGTTAAATCTTAGACTAAGTCATTATATGATTTACAATTAGAGAATTAGTCATTGCGGAAAATTTATGAAGATTAGCTTGATGTTCTTGATAACACAAAGTAAAAAAAGGAAAAATTTCATGAGAAAGATAGACTGAAAAAAGAAATTAATGAACTTACCTAGAGAATCAAAGAATAAAAAGATAGATTGCAATTAAAGGAGAGGAATGTTCAAAATATGCATGAAAACATCATTGGATATGAAACTAGATGCAGATAAATGGTAGAGATAGTAAGAGAACATAAGATCAAACTTAAAGATAAAGAAAGCACAAGAGACCCAAAAGATTTGAAGATTTAAACAGAAATTGTAACTGAAGAAGATTTGGAGAGACTAGTATTTGAGGAGGAAAGACTAGAATTAGAAAAATAAAAGAGATTAGATAGATACCAACTAAAGATGAAGAATCATGATTTAGCTCGAGTAAGCCTTGAGGATGAGATTATATCAATCCAGTAAAAAATAAGAGAAAAGCAGCAAGAATTCAAGCTAATTGAGCATCGGAAAAGAGAATTCAATATTGCTAAAAGCCAGAATCGTCATCAATCATTATTTGATGTCAATAACCTCAAATTATACAACCCTAATAACCTTCCAACTAACTAGATTAGATCAGTTTAATAATCACCTATGGAAAGAAACTCTCATAAATTTTTACCAGTAAGATCATCTATTGAAAATTATCAAAACTAATTTAAAAAGCTAGGGGTGAAGAGAGATAATAATCTATCGCCTACATTAATTAGTCCTAATAACCTTGGACTTGGCTTAAATCAGTAAAATATATCATCTAGTCTTGCCAAGCCTTCAATCTATTTTACATCAAGAGGTTAATAAGAACATAGTTAAAATTAGAGATATTTCAACATGAATCTTCTCAGAAACAAAAATGCAAAAAATAACGATTTTGGCAAAATATCCAATAATGCAAACTATGTAAAAAAGCAGTAATAAATCTCTAGATCTAAAGTAGCATAAAGTAATGTCAATCCTAGATTTAACGGAATAAATTTATCGTATGACAGACAAACTTCCAGAGAGTATTAAAAATCAGAGATCGGTGATGTTTAAAAGATAAGTTTAAATCTTGAAAACTTAAAGATTAAATATGGAGGAAAAGATAGAAAGGTTTAGAGTGATATAGTTGGATCAAATAATGGTAATTCGATCAATCAAAGCAGTTTTAGAAAAAAGGTGGTGGTGGGTAACAGTCCTAACAGAGGTAAAACTAATAGGACTGTTTTGCTATGAAATAGATTTTAGAAAATATATAAATAATTATAAACATTAATTTCATTAATTGTTCCTAACATCTTTATGAACGGGGTTTTGGGGTTTTGGGGTTTTGGGG